CTAACAAACTAAAAGAATCTAACATTACTCTGCTGTTGGCGGTAGTAGTTTTAAGAAGCCAATTAAGCCGGCCAAAATAGCCTCTGCCACAACAATTGTCGAACGCCGCCGCTCTGGTGCAATAATCCACACGCAACCGACACCTCGAACAAAGGACGAATTTGCTACACGTTGTTATCCCATTGCGAAGGATGCGTTCCTATAGAACAAGGATGGAAAAAAGGTATTGAACCTACGACTTAAGGATTACTTCGCAGGTAAGGTAGGTGCGTAGTAAGTAAATTTAAAGGCTTTTTTACTACGAGTTTGTGTGTGCGTGCGTGCGTGCGTTGTGGGTGTAGACTGCTATTTATTAATGCGTAAAATCTTTTGTATGTTGGTGGCTAATGGAAGTTGCCTTTGTTTTCTCACCCCAATACATGCGTTTCGGTCAATCAGTTCACACCTTTTTCTGCACTGGCCGCATATCCTCTGAGCAAACGCTCGGCGAGTGAGGAGAGAACCAAGAAATTCCACTTTGATTCCTTCTTAGCCGAAGGCAATTAAGAGAAGCGTAAAAAACATTTTTAAACGAGGCAACAATCAAATGCATACTGACATATTGCAATTACACATACATATGTCCGTTTGATCTTTGCCGCAGATATCAAGAGTAAAGAAGAACTAAAACTAAAAATTGTGTTTTGTAAAAAAGACGCCGAGGTTTTGAGCCCGTACAGGTGCCAAAATTGTTTGATAATTATTAAAATATTTTTTTGGATGAGCCTCAGCAATCGGCAGCGTAAATCTGCTGGTGATTCGGAGGCAAGCTAGTGTGACGAAAGGGAGGAGGCAAAGGTAAATTTTTGGCCAATAAGCGCAATTAGAGCTAATTTAAAGGATGTTTTATGACACAGCAAAAAAAAAAACAAATAACAAAGTACATTAAAGTGAGAAACGTTCTTACATAAATTAGTTGTTCCTAAGTGCTCACCGATTGCGAGATTTTTATGATAATGTTAAAAAATGCAGGATGGTGTGAAATTTCCAAACAACTATCACTTTTTTTCAATAAAGTGCGCAAGTTAAGGTTCGAGGAATTTTGCTTTTGGATGTGAGGGTGAATTAAAAAAATAGTTCCTCATGATTTATAATATGCATGTACATTAGATCGTACCAGAAAAGAAGTACACCCCTGAGTGTCAAGTAATTTTGCAAGGCAATGTAGAAAAACCATTTTTTTTTAGCCGAATATAGGGGTCGACAGTTAAAATTTTTCTTCATATCATTTCCGAGGAAAACCTTTTTTTTTTGTTCCAAGTGTTGACCTCAAGTGCCCCGTTCTAGTACTTGACCTGCAGATCTCAGTCCTAATGTCAGTAAAGTAAAACACTCAAACAATCGTTAAAATTCGACTAGTCTTTTGATTAATCCAGTAGAACTTCAAAAATATATATATGTTATTGCAGTAGGTATCAGAGAAAAATTTTATGTCAAAAAATAAAATGATTTTGTTTCAAAATTTGCTTGCATAAATGCTTTAGGGACATGAAAAAATGTCAATGGCATTACATAGTACACAGGCCAAAAGTGAGATAATGTAAATTTTTCTAAGCATATTTCGATTAAAAAAAAAAAGAATTTTTTCGGTATAGGTAAGGTGGCCAGATTTCCGTGGGGCCATTTGTAATGCATAGAATCCGAACATACAATTTTGTTTTTGGAATAAAAATACTTAATATCTTTTAATACATTTTTTTTAACAAACGAAAGAGAAACACACTTTAAAAAATATCGCAAAAATGTATACACACAATAGAGACATTTTGGCAGGTTTTGGCTACTTGTGTTTGTTTAAAATTTTGTATTATTTTTACTTGGACTTACACTTTCATAAAAAATAATAAACATTAAATAATCGAAAGGGTAACAGCCAAAGAATGCTAAAATGTCTCGTCCCAATTTATATTTTTGCCACTGTATCTACAGCTTATATTTTTCACATCCATGCATTTTTTAAGGGAATCGGTAGTATTTTTTATAATTTCACTAAATTCCAGTTGGAACCCTTTAATGAAAAAAACTTAACAAATAATTATAACAACCTTAAAAAAATTCAGCCATGAGTGGTATAAGTAGACCGCAATATAGGGACAGTACCAGTTTGACTGTATAAAACATAACCAAAGATCATAGAAATGATAAATCATGGCCATGTTTTGGCTCCCCTAAATTCTATGTTATAAGAAAAACTATTTTTGGGTCAGCGTACAGGGAGACTCTTAAATTAACAAAAAAAAAACCTGAAAATCGGGACATAATCAGTACAAATATAAAAAATCGGGACACTTATACGTCCCCACTTTTAAAAATATTCAACGGGACAATTTTCTCAAAATCGGTACTGTCCCGCCAAAATCGGTACGAATGGTCACCGTAGTTATAGAACGATGCTTGGGGTGAGAGCATTTAAATTGCGACCTTACTTTTTTGGACAACCCTAAATGTAACTGACTATTTTTAGAGCAGACATTTTTATGGTATGAAAATCCTCTCGGAGTGATTAAAATCTCTCTTTTCGTGAGGCGCGTGAGGACCGGTCTATATTCCGTGGTTGCTTGAATCAATTTTGTTTCATTCGCTTAGATGTGGAATTTGTAGTTTCATTGCACACTGCATTTTTGGATGAGGTTTTAACAAAAAACGATTATATATATAGAGCCGCTTTCTTCTGGAAAGATGCTCATTTGCATCTATACCTACTGGTGAATAGTTTAAGTTTTCTAGCTCATTCCTACAATGTGTGTTTCCTCTCAGTACATATCTTCTATATATCTGTACATATTTCAAGCTCTCTCAATAAATCTCTGTCAATAAACGCAAAGTTAATACATATAAGACCTTTGACCAAAACAAATTTATTAAGCGCAAACAGATTATTTAATAGATCAAAAAAGTAACTGTGGTTATCCAAACATAAACAACAAAACATACAAACATAATATATGTATATTTAGCCCTCCGCTTCCAAAAACTTCTGCATACACAAAGTAGATAATTGATTTTTGCTCCAACAGCGAAGGCAAGAAAACACACGAAAAGATGCCAACGTAATCTCTGCCGCCTCAACACCATTCTCAAAGGACTTTAACAACTTGCCCTGTGTGACACGAACGACGAAGCAACAGCAAACAAACAAACTAATAGATTGATTTATATATTGCACCTGGAGTGAAGAAATTTATTATAGCAACAGAAATAAATCACCGCAACGCCACTGACGATATTGTCAACCAAAACGACTACAACTACAATAATCGACAAATGTGGGGTGCGAAGTGAAAAGGATGCGAAATAGGATAACAATTTGTTACGCTGACTTACAGCTCGGAAGTGATGAAACAAGCGGGGAGCAGCAGCCGAAATGAGAGTGTAGAAATTGTTGGGCTATGTGTAAGGACGAAGTGAGTATGAATAATGAGTCTAGTTGCTGCTCGCCCACATACCGAAAACACATAGTCACTTGGAAATTTGCTTCAACAAAAAAAGAAAAAAAAAGAAATAAAATCCGTATCATTGACTTTGAAAGCAATCCCAACAAATTGGGTGTGATTTTCCAGTCGAATAGCCAACAAGTTGCAAGTGTGTATGCAATGTGATTTTAATATCTATGTACGAAAGCGAGAGTAATTGTTTGCGATTTGTATCCGTTAGTGGATGCTTAGGTGGCATTGAATTAGATTTTATTGCTTGTCAAGTAATTAATCGCTCCCAGTGGCAAGCGGAGCAAAGAATTGGGGTAAAAGGAAAGTGGGTGGACGGCGTGTGGCAAGGTAAGACGAAATGTAAGAAAGGCGAATAATTAATTGCACTATTTAGGTGGATAATGTGTGGAAGCATTATTTAAAGGCGGGTATAGAGGCATTTTTTTGCCAAATGCTTGAAGTCGACATTAGTATAATATAATGTACTATTTAGATTGGGCAAAAATATTCCATGTTAAAGGGCAATTTGGAAATATCCTTTTTAAAATTTTGTGCAATTGATTAACACAATGCGACAACCGAAATTTAAACGGATTTCAGTAACATTATCTGAAAGAGTACATACTTGTGTATTTATTTGAAAGTAAAGTTTAGTTTTAAGTGAATTGCTTACTTAATATCTCGATGGCATTCCCTGTGGACTTTTCCAAAGCTGTCATTTCCACCTGTGAGATTTTTTGTAAATCTGGTTTGCCAAGCGTGAGTAATGTTCTTCTGCGTCCTTTAATGTGATGGGTGATCGTACAATTACTGGCTAAATCATCAGCTAAGAAATAACCCTCAATATCGTGGTGTCCAGGCATCCATATGAATAAATAAAAAACGAAACACTTTTTGCGCGGCAGAAACATGTTTTTTTGCCGAACCTAGCGTGCCCCTGCTTGCATGTTCGGATATATTTTTTATACAAAAGCTAAATGATTTTTGGTGAGCATTAATTTACTGGCATCTGGATGGAACGTTAGGGTTCTAGAATCTGAGATCTGGAGGGTAGGTACTAGAACGGGGTACTTGAGGTCAATGAACTTTGGAACAAACAAAATTGCCCCCTCATTTGCATGTACCTTTCATGTGATGTAGAAGGGTCGGTACAGCGAGTCTAAAAAATAATTTTGACATTAGCAGAATTTCAGATGCACTCGCAAAATTTTAAGCAATGATCAAAAAACTGAAAATCGGAATTTTTTAAATCAAAACACCGGTCATAAATTGGACATTTCCAATGGATTCTCATAACTTTATATGCGTTGAAAAGCGAAAGGTTGTGCCTTTCCACGGCTTTTAGGAAATTTTTGTTAAGTTAATAACCATTGACTACGTGAACCAAAATGCTTGAGAAAAAACGAAAAAACTAGTTATGGTGGCTTTGGGTTAAAATTACAGCCTATACTTGTATTAAACTCGTACCTCGTTTGGTATCTATATTTTTACCTCTTTAAAAAGACCTATTCCAGACTTTAATTGTACAAAAATTCTCTAAGCTATAACGGCTTTCCTATTTCCTGTAGAATAGTATAAGTTAATACGAAAAAGGTATAACTTTGACCCTCAGTTCATTTATTGTGTTTAGCTGGAGTAAAATAATTTTTGATTACCTTGTATTAATATCACCACTTGGGCATGGTTGGAGAAAATGTTGATAATCCTTGTTTTCAAAGATCTACGATTTCACAACCTCCAGAGTACCGCTAACAATTTTCTACCCTAATGTGACTATACTAGAGATGCCAGATCAAAATAAAAAAAAATCGATTATGGAATCGATTCATATCGAAATGAAAATGATAGATGCAGGAAGGAAGTGTCAGAGAATTAATTAATTTTTATAAAGAAACAAACAACAGCGATCTGACCAAACTTTTATTGTATGTACATTATACTGATTCAAAAAAACCCAAGTTTTTAAAATTTGTGCGCGATGCTATTTTAAGAAGCGTACGTACATACATATATATTTTTTGCAATGCGGACGTTTTTATTCTACATTTTTTTTTTGGTTTTTCGCTGACTTTATTTCACTTCTAACTTACCCTTTTAAAAAAATATAAAAATATTAATTGATTATAAAAATTTGCATAAAGTTTGGAATTACAGTTTTTGTTCTAGTATTAGCCATAATTTTATATAGAGTTACATATTTTCAAGAGGCTGCCCTGAGAAGCCTTATAGTCGGAGGAGAAAGCTCATTGAATTTTTTGGTTGTTGCTGTTTCATATTATTGTTTTTTTTTGTATCTGCCCCAAATTAAAATTTCTTTAGTTATAGATTTTCTGCGGCAAACCGTAGTTCAATATGCATCAATTGGGGAATAATCGAATGTCGATTCTCGAATTTTTCGAGTGATTCATGGATCGAATCTGAGCTAAAAAATCGACAAAAAATCGAGTCGGAGGGGCTCCATTAATAAAGCTTACATTTAATTAATTTAAAAATCACCAGACTGTGCCACAAATAAAAATCTAAAACAAGAAAATTAAGTAGTGCGATGTAAGCATCTGAAATATTTTCCGAGACGTTTTTTCTCTGTTTAAAAGGAGGCGCTAAAAAATAGATTAGTCACTGATTGATTTCTAAAATATCTATCAACATTTATCAACAATAAGTATTAGCTAAAAATAAATAAAATAATAATAAAGCTTCAACAAAAGCTTTCTATTCAATACACCGAAAATACCAAAAAGCGCCAACGAAGCATGCAACTGTCTAATTTTCTTAATGGAAAACCTTTTCACAAACAAATCTGTCATTCACGATTGCATCGATCGAAGCATCGCAGCTATAAAATCAAATTAACAAGTCACTACACAGAATAATGCCCGACAAAGCTAACAACAGCTTTACATACTAACTACTATCTATGTAGCAACTGCATGTCATTTACACATCGGCATTACAGTGGACACATCAAAGAGTTGCATAATAAAAACCAATTGATGCACATAAAACAATTACATTATCCATATGTGACGAATATGAATTAAGACGCAAAGACCAGAAGTCAATAGCCAACACCAACTACACGTTGCTACCGAACGCGTGTTGCATTGATTGCTGCCACAATGAGCGATGCATTCAACAACAAGTCAACCTTCATTGTAATCAGTTAGAAGATGCGACCGCAACAACGTAGGGGGTAGTGCGGCCATTATTTTTTGAGCTGCAAACGAAATAAAAAAGTAAAAAACCAAGAAAACGAACACAGAAAACAGTCAACAGTCAACAAAAACGGCCATCACAAAAAGCATGCTGAGGTGGGCTTATGGCTATGCAGTGAGTGGCAAGGAGAAGGGACTAAGTACCACCAATACTGTTACAACAACACTGCTGCAACATGCTAAAAGTTTCGGCGCGCTTTAACCAATCACGCAAACGCGCTTAACTTCAAAGCTAATGAGGTCCAGTCCAACTCAACAAGAGGCACCAGTCAGACGCTCCAACAGCGCTACGGCCGGAGGGGACAGAGCAGTTGCAGGGATTGCGCTGCTAAACTGATCATGCTTGGTTAATGCGCCAAGAATGTAGCACAAAACGGCCCGACTACGGCTATGTGAATGCTATGGTGATGCCAAAGCTGAGGCTCACGATGTGGACGCGACAACGGTGATGATGATGATGATGATTGTGCCACAGAGTTGTGGCTATGATTGCCAACACTGTTTGTTTTTGGTTTATTATTAATGTTCTTTTCATTGGGGTCTGTCTCTCTTCGCTCATTCTGGCCCGCAGCTCGTTGAAGCGCTTAAGAGCACTCAACCAGAGACCACATGGGCACAAGCACACAATTTAAGCATAGCTTGGTACAAACTTACTTACGGAAAAAAAATTTATATACATACATACTTACGTACATATGCACTACCCAGTGTGTATCTATGTGCAAACATGATCAATTTTAATGCGTGTGTTCCTTTCGTGTATCTACTCGTACATTAGTGTGCGTTAATAAATGACCAAGCAAAGTGGGCATTAACGGGACAAACCTCAAGATTCTCGCAGCGCTGAGGTGTGTACGCGCGCGCGCGCGCAGACGCAACTTGTTGGTGCGGAACTTCCAGAGAGGGGGGGACTGGAACTGAATCATATAACAACGTCAGGCCATTGGCCAAGGCGCTGGAACCTACACAAGATATATGTATGTATGTACATATGTATACTATGTACTTATGTAAGAACATGCACATATGGTAGGAAGGTATGTGGTTCGGGCGTGAGTGTGGGCACGCGGAATGCTGCCACCACAGATTCTCCTCTTGGTGGCGGCAAAGATCAAATATTTCCGATTGCGGCTGCTTCGTGTGGTGATTGTGATTGTGGCGGCGGTAGGTCGTAAAGGAGTAAAAAAAAAGAAGAAAATTAGTAGCGCATATGAAGAGGATTATATGGTGGATGAGAAGAATGACACGACAAAAGAATCGGAAGAAGTGAAATAGTGAGGTTGTGTAGAGGTATGAAGTGAATATAAAAGTATGAAAGTTTAGGAAGTGACTTATTTTGGGCATAATGCTGTTGTTGAATGGAAAAAGCTATTCGAATAAAAGTACATAGCTACGTACATATCGTCGTTTAAAGTACAAAAACGCGTATCAACAAAATGCAAAACCGCGTATGTGAGGTTGCATAAATTATTTTCTAGAGAGTAAAAACACTCATATTTCAAAATAGTTCTCTGTTTTATAAAGAATTTCCGGCTAGTATATTTCAGGACGAATGGATCAGGATTGAGCCAAGAGCTTGTGTGAGCAAATCCAATTTTTGGCTGCAAATGTCAGTTACGCGATTTTGCAGTTACGTAGTTTTGAGACAACAGCAGGCAGAATAAAAAATATTTAAAATGAATTAAAGTACAGTCAGCCTCAAAAATATTATTTACTTATATCCTTACCAAATTTTTTATATTTTTTATAAAAAGTAAAATTCAAACAACAGCAAAAACTACAAGAAGTAACTTTTATTGTTTTATACAGAATTCGAGAAAATGCAAGAAATTGTTATCGAAACTTTCAATTCGAGTCCCTAGAAAATTTTTGGGTATGCAGTTTTGTAGCTCATTTAATAAACTTCAAATTTCAAGTTGCTAAAACTTTTGTTGTTGATGTTTGAGATATTTTTTTCGCCGATGGCGAGAGCGTACATTCTAACACTCTTCGGGGAAAAAATTTTCACAGATTTTTAGCAACTTGAAACTTGCACTTTCTTATACTAAAATTTAATGGGCCACAAAACTGCATACATACATACCCAAAATTTCCTAAAAATATTTCTAAGAAATCGGATTTAAAAATTTTAAATTGCGATGGAAGTTTTTTAAATTTTACCGAGTTCTGTATGAAATTAAAAAAAGTAGGTTTGAAAAATTTTAAAGAGATAAAATCGTCAAAACGTGGGGGTATGCATGTTTTCGACACAGGCTTTTCCATTTCCTTAGCTGAATGGATGCCCATTCGACTGACATCTTGTTGGGCTCAAATCTTTTCCTTTTAATTTATTTAAAAATTTTAATTTACGATTTTGTGATACTTTTTCGATAAAACTTGTAAATGAAAGTATTGATGAATAACTGACTTCCAAAGTAAACTTTTTGCTTTTTATGACGATGAGAAATATTTCCAGCAAAATTGAAACTACGCGTCAAAACTTAACCATCGAAAAGTGTTTTAGAATAGCCTGAGTTGCAAGTTTTTGGTTTTGCTTTCAATAACTATTTCCGAATATTTTTTCTTTCTCTCAATTTTACTTTCAATTTTCGTTTAGTCTTTCTCTGTTGGACATTTTTTTTTATCATTGGAAAGAAAACGTAAAGGAAAAGTTGTCTAAATTCAAAAGTTGAAAAAGGTTTTTTCATTGAAAATATATACTAAATATGTATGTATGTATTAGGGATGTTAATCCCGGTATCCCGACCCGGATGCAATAACTACTTATTTTGTGCAATATCTACTTATTTTTTGAAAACAGTTGCCACCTGATAAAAAAATTAAATTCAAATTACTTTGAAGTTTCACTATTTATTAGTATCATTCGAAATGGATTTGAAAAGGCTTTATTTCTTAATTATATGTATGTATATTGGAGGGTTGCCATCTGTTTAAAAAGGCAAGTTCGGCTTTTATAAAGACAGAAAATTGAAATGTATATCCTGAAATGGAGGTTGTGGTTTGAAAATATTTTGCAGATGGTTGCCACCTTGTTACAAAGTTCGATTTAATTTAAGCAATAGGTTAAATAAATAACTTTAATATGAATATATGTATGTAAATCAAAATTGCTTTGAGCAAACCTTATTTCCAAACTGCATGCAGGAGGAGGGTTGCCACCTAAATTTATAATTAAAGTCAATTTGAATTAAGAGTATTAGATAGGTGAAATATACATCACAATACAAGAGTCAGACGAAAATGGTTTTACGAGGTTTTGGTTTAAAAATAATTGAAACAGTCGAAAAAAGTTTAACAAGGTTTTAGTTTTAAGATATTTAGAATAGGGTTGCCACCTGCTTTCAAAC